GACGGTGTCGATGCTGCTGCTGTTGCTGATGATGCTGATGAGGATACTGATGATCATGCTGATGGTGATGGGGCCGATGACAAAGATGGTGATGCTGTTGCTGATGATTATGCTGCTGCTGATGATGGTGCTGCTGCTGATGATGATGGTATCAGGAGGAGGAGGAGGATGAGGAGGAGGAGGAGGAGGAGTAGTATGTGGATGGTGACGATGTCGACGACGACGACGACGAGTATGATGTTCTGATGGTAGTGGCGACGATGGGGACGATAGTGACGACGGAGATGATGGGGACGTGCAGGAGGATGACGGTAAGACGAAGCAAGGTAAGCGTGGCGAGGATTAGGATGAAGATTAGCACGAGGATACGTGACGAGAATCACGCCGAGGGTCTAGAAGAGAGGGTTTCGGACCAGTTGGTGGGATACGGGGAGGGGGAGCTGGTGTGTTCGCGCGTGGGGCGCGATGACGATGATGATGCTGATGACGATGCTGATGATGACGATGATGCTGATGAGGATGATGATGATTGTGATGCTGATGATGATGCTGCTGATGCTGATGGTGATGCCGATGATGATGCTGATGATGATGGTGCTGATGATGATGATGATGCTGATGATGATGATGATGATGATGATGATGATGATGATGCTAATGATGACGATGAGGAGGGGGAGGAAGAGGAGGAGGAGGAGGAGGCGGAGGAAGAGGAGGAGGAGAAGGAACGAATGATCTGGGACTTCGACAGAGGGGCAGGGACTTAGTCGGAGGAAGAGCAGCATGATGGTGATGATGAGAACGATGATGCAGAGGATAGGGAGGAGTACGAGTAGGAGTAGTAGTAGAAGTGGAAAGAAGGAAGGGAGCAGCAGGAGGACGAGGATGATGATGATGATGCTGCTGATGCTGATGCTGATGATGATGCTGATGATGAGATGATGATGATGATGATGATGATGATGATGATGATGATGATGATGATGATGATGATGATGATGATGATGATGATGATGATGATGATGATGATGATGATGATGATGATGATGATGATGATGATGAGATGATGATGATGATGATGATGATGATGATGATGACGATGATGATGATGATGATGAGGATGAGATGAGGATGATGATGAGATGATGATGATGATGATGATGATGATGATGATGCGTTTTTTGGGGGGCTGGCGTCCAGCCGCAGACGGTACGCGACGTGTTACACTGTGGTGGTACGAAGCTCGAGCCACGCTGCTCTTGCAGCGACTTCGTCATTGACGTTCTTCAGCAACTTCGTGATGGATCCTCCGTATGGCGATAGGCGTGATGGCAATAAGCTTGACTGCAGTTGGGGATTACTGAAGTGCCGGGGTAGGAGTAGGAGGCGGAGGAGGAGGCGGAGGAGGAGGAGGAGGAGGAGGAGGAGGAGGAGGCGAACCAGTATAAACCCAAGACGCGACAACTCTGTTGCAATGCACGCTTCCTCCGAGTTCCTTCTTCATAGGGCCCTACCAGAATTTACCGTCATTGCAGGACATGCCCCATTGGAAAGCAACCGTTTGAGATGCGTCAGTCGTGCTACATCAAAATGTTGCCATAACGCATTCCTGGGACTCAGGCCGTGTGTTTTTTGAAGCTGCTGTGAACTTTAGAAACAGTGTGCGCGGCGCTATGCCGAGAGCCACATTTTGAACATATTAGTCCTTCGCTCCTGAAATAGTCGCAAACTCTTGAGTCGGATGGGCGCAGCGTTATGCTCAGAGTCACACTTTGAGAATGGCCCGTCCTCCATCCTTGAAGCGCTTGCAGATTTTTGCGGCGGATGTGCGAGTCGCTACGGCGATCGCCGCACATGTTGAAAACGGCTCGCCCTCCATTCTTGAAGCACTTACGAGCTGGTAAGAGGAGTGTGCGGAACGCTCAGGCGAGATCCACTGGATCTCGCCTGAGCGGCCCGCTTTCCATCCCCGAAGCTCTTGCACATGTTGACAACGAGTGCGCGCGGCGTTCAGGCGATATTCACATTTCGAAGGCGGCCCGACCCGCCTTCATCCGTGAAGCTGCTGCACATTTCCAGTGTCATGGTCGTACACGGTGGGGAACCTCAGGGTAAACGCTCCGCCTGCCCTACCGACGCGCCTGGGGGAGCCACAGGGAGGGACGGTTTGGTTACTTGTAAGGAACAGAGCTGGAGGAGGAAGAGCGCGGAGGACGAGAAGGAATATGATTATTAACGAGGAGGATGAGGAGGAGAAGGAGGCGAAGATGGAGGAGGAGGAACTAGCAGGAGGAGGAGGAGGATGAACGAGGGGCAAGAGAAGGCGGGGGAGGAGGAGGAGGAGGAGGAGGAAGAGGAGGAGGCGGAACGTGAGGAGGGAGGAGGAGGATGAGGAGGGGGAGGAGACGGAGGAGGACGAGGCATGAGGATGAGGAGGAGGCAGGAGGAGGAGGAGGCCGAGGTCAAAGAGGTGACATGAGGAGAAGGAGGAGGGGGAGGAGAGGAGGAAGGAGGGAGGAGGGAGGAGGAGGATGGGGGGAAGGATGAGGAGGAGGAAAAGGAGGAGGCGAGGAAGGGGTGGATGAGGAGGAGAGGAGGAGGAGGAGGGGAGCGATGAGGACGGCGGAGGGTCGGAGGAGGACGAGGAGGAGGAGGAAGAGGACGAAGAGGAGGCGGAGGAGGAGGAGGAGGAGGAGGAGGAGGAGGAGGAGGAGGAGGAGGAGGAGCTCTTCCAGGGCTCTTCCTTAGACGACGTAGTTGAATCCGCCACTCCGCCCGCCGCGCTCATGCCCCTCCCCTGGGTATGCCCTTCGGTGGGCTCCCGCGCAGGGTATGGGGCGGCAGCGCGGCGGTGGTGGCGTCCTGCAGGGCGCTGCCGTCTCCGCCCTGGCTCTGCCTCGCGAGGCAGTGCTGGCCCTCCTCGCAGCTTCTGCAGTTCTCACAGGGCGCTGCAGTCTCCTCCCTGGCTCCGCCCCTCGAGGCGGTGCTGGTCCTCCTCACAGCTTCTGCGATTCTCACACTTCTCACGCGCGGCGGATCGTGATGACCCGCTCGTTTTTCACCCCCGCCGTCCTCGGGGTCATCTCTTCGAAGTCTGTCCTGAGCGGCCTTGAGGGCTGGGCTTTCCGTTTGAACTCAGGATGGTGAACGTTCGGCTCTGGCCGCCGCCCTCCAGCGTCCACTGCCTATACCTCTTCCCCACCTTCTCTGCGTCCGCCTCTGGGAGGGGCCCCCACTCGCCGTGGATGTTCTGCGCCTCCCATTGGCTAGCTTTCTCCTCGCTGTAGCTGTCGACGTCGGGCTTCGGCTTCGCCTCATCCTTCTTCTCGCGCTGGCACCTGCTCGGGCCCAGCCACTTTCGGGAGATCTCGACTCGCGCTCGCCACATCGCCGCGCTGGTGCAGCTTGGCCCTTCCGTCTGGAGCTTCGCCTTCCCCTGCTCGCATGCCCTGACTGCTGCACTGTAGCTGCTCGTATGAGGCTCTGTCATCGCCTCACACTTCTCTCACGCTCTGTCTCCAAGGTCTCTGCGCTGTAGCTGGTCACGTCGGGCTCCATCTTCGCTTCCGTAGCCGAACCACACTCCGTTTTCGCAGATCCAGCCATGGCGACGAGGGGACCCGAGGAGGAAACGCTAGTGATATTAGGCTCCAGCTTGGCCTCCACCGTTGTTGCCCTGATCACAGCACTGCAGTTGGTCACGTCTGGCTCCGTCTTTCCATTTTGGCTCTGGACCAGATAGAAACTGGGCTCCAGCTTCGCCGTCTCCTTCTCGCACGTACCGGTCCCCTCGCTGTAGCTGATCGCGTCGGGCTCACTCCTCGCCTTCCACTGATCGCCCGCGCAGGTCGCAGAGTCGTGGTTCGGGATAACGGGCTCTAGCTTTGCTTTCTCCTTCTCGCACTCCATGGTCTCAGCGCTGTAGCAGAACGTGGCGGGCGCTATCTTCACCTCCCACGTCGCGTACTCGCTGGTCCCAGGGTTGAGGCTTGCCCAGATTGCAGCGTTGTAGCTGGTCATGTTGGGCTCTATCTGCACCTCCCACTTCTCGCAAGGGCTGATCTCGGCGCAGTCGCTGCTCATATCTGGCTCTTCCAGGTATGCCTGCATCCTGCTCGCCCCACCACGGTACTTCC